TGCATCAATGGATTCCAATTGACAATATTCTGCAGCCCATATCTGTGGTATTTTGTTGTATTTGACTATAATGTGGCGCTGCTTTCTACTTTGATGGATTAGAGGGTTGGTGTAAATTTATTGCTGGTAAATAAATATGATATTGGATATAGATCCTCCTGTGGGGTTTCACCCTCGGTTTATCAAGGCTGGTCTTTTTGAATATTACAGGGAATGACTCGCTAATAATTTAGCCATCACGTCTCACAGTTCACTCAGTGAGTAGGTGTTCAATCAAGCCCAAAAGAAATAGTCGTGCATCTCCTTTTTGTCATAGATGAATTGAAGCGAGAATAGAAAAATGACTGAGACAATCAAAGCTTTACATATATATTAGTTTTATTGATCCAGCTGCCCTTTAATTTGCAGTATATAATAATGTCAACATGATGCTATACTATTGCACTTTGAAACGAACTGCAATTCATTTCCATAGTTATTTACCGTTGCTGCACCGGCGAATCATTTCTTATACTGAAACATTGGAAATAAGCTTTGAAAAAGGAAGAGGAAGTACAGTAATCGTACAGGATTCTTGGTGATCGTTTCCCTCATATATCCTCCACAGGTGGTGTACAAGAACAACGATATCCGCCTGGAGCTCTCCCGCCTTGCCCGCATTGTCGACCCCAAGATGAAGCTCCAGGGTGACGTGGTCTTCAAGTGCGAAAACGTTCCCACCCTCGACCCCATCAACTTTGAGACCCCGGAGTCCTACCTGGCCTTGCCAAAATGGAACACCAAGCGCGTGGGCTCCATCTCCTTTGACTTCCGCACCTCTGAACCCAACGGGCTGATCCTCTTCACCCACGGTAAGCCTCAGGACAGGAGGGACGCGAAGGGCCAGAAGAACAACAAGGTGGACTTCTTTGCAGTGGAGTTGCTCGATGGAGGGCTCTACTTGCTGCTAGACATGGGCTCCGGGACTATCAAGGTCAAAGCAACGCAGGCTAAGGTCAACGATGGCTCCTGGCATCATGTGGATATCCAGAGAGATGGTCGCTCAGGTAAGGATGAAAGAAAAAAGACGGATAAAGGTTGAAATGTCTGTTTTTAAGTTATCCTTGCTGAACTTTCACAGATGTTTAACATCCCTGTTAAATCAGCTCTGTGCTTTGAGAAGGCACAGTGGTCCTGCCAGGTCACTGGTGTCCTGTTTTCTCTGATACACACACAAATACATAAGAAAAAAATGGCTTCGGTCAAAAAAATTGAACTTCTGCTTCAGTTAAAACCGTGTTGCCTTTGGCTGAACGGTACAAAGTATAAATTTATAGGCAGAGAGCTGACAGGGCAACTAAAACATGTTCAGAAACAGAGTAATAAATACAGAAGAAAAGAGAATTGCAACTGTGCAATATTTACTTATGTAATACACAGTGAAGCATATCTTGTTTTGTTCTATTGCTATTGGGACTTTTCTATTTTTAAGCAGTAGTCAGCTTTTTAAAATGCCAAAAGAATTAAAGACAAAATTGCATCTTTAATGCAAAGACATCAAGTTTACATCCACTCACCGTGGACATGGATGGAATTTGGATTTTAATGATTTCTTTGAACTGTGCTTTTTCCAGGCTGAAATGCCTGCACGCCATACATCTTTAATGAATTTGAAAAGCAACTCTTTCAATTTATTTTGGATTTTCTCCACTCCACAAAAAAGTATACAAAAGCATACATACAGGCTCAGATATACACACACATCCACACTGATATTTGTGACACTTTTGCCATGAACACGTTTCTGGCATAATTCTGGCTGGATATTCATTTGGTTTTTTTTCTTGGCACATTTGGTAGAGTTCATTTAAATTCATTGGTTTTCATGGCACAGACCCAGCTTCAAGCTGAGTCGAGCTTGAAAATTGTTGATTTTGGAGCACAGGCTTCTTTCTTGATTGGTACCCACTCAGCCAACGAAGGCGTGGACAAAATCTTGTCACGTTAATTTGGATAAAATCCAAATCTTTAGTGAACATGCTGAGACACAACATAACACGAGGAAAAATACTTGGAAACACAACTGGAAAGCTTGACTGCGCAGTAGATGAAGAACGGCAGGTGACAGAGCATGGATATATTATGTGTGTATATAAATAAACAGGACAAAGTGAATCTGACAGCAGTGCAGAAACATAAATGCAACCAAAATCCAAAAGCATGGCCAAAACTGCAGAACTGCTCGCTTGACTGTAGACTCACATTTTGCAAAAACTGACAAACTCTTCAGTCAATTACAAACAAAAACTAAAAAACTTAAAATAGCAACGACAAATAGGGGAACATGAATTAATTTGCATAACCATTTATCTCTCAGTTGACTACAGTCTTCGTAACACTAGTGAAACTAGCTTTGATGTAATGAAATTGCTTTGCTTCAGAAAATACAACTTGTGCATACTTACAGTGAAATTATACCAGCTCAAATGTTGCAGTGCTGCAGTGATTCAGCTTTTCCTGCATCCCCACTGCGAGATGATGGAAACTATCTCAATATATTAATACAAGCATTGATTTATTGCCAGGATAAAAGCCGTATCTCTCTCTAGATAGCTACTGAGTCCATTTCCCCTTACCTTCCTCTATCTGGATGTTCTCTGACCTCATAACATGGGCAAATACACAGAAAGTACTAGAAGAAGATTATATTAGAGAAAGGGGCTCGAAACTTCTTTCGCCTTGAGCTCCGAACCCAACACAATCTCTGCATTAGGTGAGATCCTCCAGAGGACTTGGTTGTGTTAGACGGCATTACAGCCCATGTTATATATCAGGTTAGAGCAGCCAATTTAGCCATGTGTCAGAGCTCGCTGCTTTGATTAATCACCGGCGCAGCCCCCAGTGCGATAGCAGAGTAAAAAGTAGGATTTTCAGGGGGGAAAAAGAGGAATGAGACAGATATATGGATACCAGACTGAGGGATGGTTAAGAACAGCCATAATCACACTTGTGGCTTGAGTGAAATGTTAATAGGAGTTGCAAGTGAATTAAATTTTCTGTCCACAAAGAACTATATCCTGGATCTCTCTCTGAAGGACGGCAAGGTGAATATAACGTAAAGTGAGAACTCACAGTGCACCACTTTCAGACAAGCCAAGTTTAGGCTTTGTAGTGAAAGTGATGTTTTCATCTGTTGTGTCCCTCGCATTACAAAGAGCTGATAATGAGCTGAGGCAGTGTAGTAGACAAAGAGCTAATGAACCTGTTTATTTCTTCCTGTAAGTTCATAATCATCGAATAAGGTCATAAAAGTGTTCAAATAATTAAAAATCTTGACATAAAATATGAATATATGGCCTTGGGTAATGGCATTATGTATGCATGATGTTTTATAGACATGCAGAGCAGTCTGGGTGATTTTTATGGAGTTTAAAAAAAACACACACACAGAAAAGTCGATAATTTGGGAGACAAACAGATTCTCTTTGCTTACCTTTGATTTTGGTATTTGTACGTCTAACACCAAATGTTAACTTGAAAAGATCTCAAGTGTGAGAAAAATAACATGAACAATATAACACAGTCTGCCACAGCACAAAAGCAGTGTCTCGTGACTGCAGGGGTTATTTCACCTGTTGCATTAAAGTGCAGCTGTAAAATGTGATCTATTTCCTCTGGACAACGCAGCAAAGAAGCCGTGTTAAATCTTTAGGCACTTTGTTACTAGCAGCCTGCCACAAAAACACGTAATTTGTTCTCATTTCTTTAGTTGAAAGACAGATTACACAGTTTGACAGGCATATAATGGTATTTTTGCACCGGCAAGGTTATTTCAAATAACTGTTATTACAAGATAACAAGTGGAGGAAGAAGTGGCCTAAAAGGGTATCTGCTGCTGATGAGTCGTATCTGAAAGTCATGTCCTCAAGAAAAGGAAAATCCAGCAAAGACCTCACACAGGACCTGATGCATCTGACCTCCAGCTGATTAGATAGATGTGAACCCAAAAGCAGACGATGGAAACAGAATCTTATTTTAAATTGAAAGTGTACCGTTTATTTTGGCAGAAACACAAAAACACGGATTTCAAACTAAACAGAGGAACGCCTAAACTGGGGAAACTAAGCAAATAAACACTAAAACCAGGGGATGGAAACCAGGAGGGAAACACAGCTGGTGCTAATCACACACAGAACCGAGAGGAAGCAAAACTGAACACACTATACACAAGACAAGGAACTATCCAAACAGAAACGCAGACTAGACACTGGAGCTGTGGAAGAACAGACATGAAAACTTAACTAGACGTGGAACACAGGAGGAGGCACAGTAACAAATCTGGAAACAAGAAATCACTAAATACAAGAGAACTTAGGGAGCTAGAACTACAAGAGACTGGGTCTATGTCCACACGTACCCGGGTATTTTTGAAAATGCAGATTTTTCTATGCGTTTGCACCTTTCGTCCACACGGCGTTTTTGGTCACTGAAAACTGAGATTTTTAAAAACTCCGGCCAGGGTGGATATTTTTAAAAACTCAGTTTTTGCATTTACGTGTGGATGCGAAAACGGAGAAAGCGCAGAGTCAAAGGTGTGCGCCTTTTTTTGACGTCACAATGTGCGCCACGTTATTGTTTCGGTGAAATGAATTTCTACAATACTGTTACTGTTAATTCTCTCTGCAGTGTTTAAATGCTTACATATACACACACAGTTACTGTCCCTCCACACATACGACTCGGTTCTGCTTCTATGCCCCAGCTTTGTTTACTTTTTCCCACCGAGGCTTCTAGACTTCTGATTGGCCAACATTTCTGCACGGTTAGGAGTATAGCGCCACCTGCTGCTTTGGCATGTTCCTAGCAGCGTTTTCCTTCATTTCTGCGTTTACGTGTGGACGGGATTATTTTTTAAAACAAAAACGGAAAATCTCCGTTTTCAAAAATACCTGTGTACGTGTGGACGTAGCCTAAACCATGGAAAACACTAAATCGAAGAATATACAAAACCCAGAAAAACACAAACACTGGGTCCCAGACTCAGTACCATGACGTCATGAGATTTTGATCCACCTTGAAGTGCAATCTGACATGCATCTGACTGGCAATAGCTTCTATAGATAGAAAAACACACAGTGGAACACCATCAGTCATGGATTGGCCTCCCCAGTGCCCAGACCTGCATATTACTGAAGCAGTGTGGGATCATGCTGACAGAGAACAGAACAAAAGGCTGAAATGTCCAAAGTAGAGCTTTGAATGCCTGGAGAGCTATTCCTGCAGACTACTTAAAGACGTGACATAAAAGCTTGGCTAAGAGCATTCAGACTGTGTTGAAGAATAAAGTTGGTCAAACCAAATATTGACCTTCAGGCTTTTACAAACACAGTTTCTGCCTTAAACACCGTTTTTCCACGTATGTTTGTGCATGTTTCAATAAATCGTTACACCTTATGTCCTTGCAAAATAAAAAGAAATGAGGAGTTTCTAAAGTGTTTTTCGACAGTACTATATGAGCGATCGTTGAGTGTCCACAGGTGCAGACAGCGACCTACTCTGTAACCTTTTCCCAGGAGACGAGTAGTTTTGTCAGATTTGAGGGTTTTTTTCTTTGATTTATTTTGTTCAGCCTTCTTTTCTGTTATTTGGTGACACAAATAGAGTTTCCCTGAAGAGCTCGTTAAAGTCTGTGATCAGTGCAATTTTGGCCGCCAAACATAGGTTTGCACCTCCACTTACTCAGCCCACATCTTTAGCACGGGGTGGTGTGCTGCGCTATTTCTGTCTTTCACAATTTTGCTGAGTGCATCTCTACTTTGTTAAAGCTCTCAGGTACAAAATTACAAAAAGAAATCTGTCATTTTCAGCTCTGTCCTCACCTTGATGAATGGAAAAAAGGACTGTCAGTCTCTTTGAAAGGTTCTGGAAAGAACTATAGACTAAAGGTAATAGATGTAACTTGGGTTCAAGAAATGTAGCTGAAGCAAGCAGTGTTTTATTTGTCAGCCAGTAGAACATGACTGTAAAATACGAGGCCTGCTTTGAAAAACACCACCAAGAAACATGTCAGAGTGGATACCCCAGCATTTTTCGAACACAAGTCGATTAAATGATATTTTATTTGTCAGTAATCGCCTTTTTCCCCCTTCAGGCATCATTTCAGTAAACAGCCGTCGGACCCCTTTCACAGCCAGCGGGGAAAATGAGATCCTGGACCTGGAGGGGGACCTTTATCTGGGCGGTCTGCCCGACAGCCGAATGGGCTTGGTGCTCCCGACTGAGCTCTGGACAGCTATGCTCAACTACGGCTATGTGGGCTGTGTTCGGGATCTGTTCATCGACGGCCGCAGCAAGGACATCCGGCAGATAGCTCAGTCGCAGAACATGACCGGCATCAAGTCTTCGTGCAGTAAGGTGACGGGGAAACAGTGCGACAGCAACCCCTGCAAGAACAACGGGGTCTGTAAGGAGGGCTGGAACCGCTTCATTTGTGACTGTACCGGGACCGGCTTTTGGGATAGTACCTGCGAGAGAGGTGAGAGTCCTTTCCAGCCACTTTCTGCGTGCTGTTTGTCTTGCGTCTTATGGTGATGATTTTAAAATCTTACTGCCTTTGGCAAGAGGGTTTATCGATCTGAGAGTACAAGACCTTTAATGCGGCTCACTCAGCTCTCCTTTTATATTCTAAAAACCATTTCTTCAGTGAGCTTATGGAGCGGTGTTTTGCTGCTTTTAGACAGTATATTGTGTATCTTACAAGGTGCAGTGGTTGACAGTGAAGTAGCTTTGCAGAGTTCAAGTATCTTTTCTGTCTGTTTTTCTAAATATGGTTGAAAAGTGGTGGCGGTGTAGCTGCTGCTTACTAACTATAGATTTTCTAAGGGTGTGGACAGCGCTCTGTTACAACAGAAGTGTGACTTGGCACACTTGGTTCACATTATTTATGGAAGGATTTGCTGAAAGATTTAATAGGAGGTTTTTCAAGCATTTTCTTTCCTGGGAAAGATTCTAGAGAGAAATTGAACTTTTCCCAGTTGGTGAAATGGGCTCTCCTTGTCTGAGTTTTAAGAGCTTGGCCACATGAAGGTTTTATGAGATGGAAAGAATAGGGACACTCCAAGCTGTGGGAGAGTATATTATTGGACTGTTGTTCAGATTGCTCTTGACTCTTTCACTATTTTACAAAGATTTTCAGGATTCAGTGGAGAGATTTAAGTACTTTCCCAAGAACTCGAGGCCCGTAAAGAATCGTACGTGTATGACGGATAATGAGCATCTAGAGAGTAGGTGCTTAAAGCCAGCATTAAGTGTGAGTGTAGCATGTGTGACAGCATTGACTGATTAACACGTTCAAAGGGGGGAAATCAAAACGTACCCAACGTAGATGTAGGTCTGTTTTGTAGTCATTGGTTTGGAAAATGCATTCAGGTGGAGACAGACATTTGTTCCTTTTGTTGTTGCTGATACTGCATGTTTAAAAAAAGCAATCATAAAGTAGCTCTTCTTATTCGCAGATTAAACTCCGAGTTAGAAAAGACAGATCAATATTCAATAATGTACTATCATAAATAATTTTTCTGCTAAAGTAAATTTTGCATTGCAGTAATGTGGAGAATGTTGAAATGTGAAAGAGGTAAAATTCCAGGGGGAGCTGGCTCTTTTCATCGAGTTAACCTTGTGCTAGTCCGACCGCTGCGCCTGGCGTAGTGTGGACGTCCGTCATGTTTTATTTGCACAAAAAAGGGGGAAAGAAAAAGGCAGATGTGTGAAGCCAGCTGTGCCTGGCTAAAAACCACTCAGTCAGTGAACTTCAGTCACCTTAAACCTTCGGGATGAAAACTTAAAACTCGTCTTTGTCCTGCTTTGCTCCTTCCCGCACATCAGTTTCTTAACTGTCATATCTCTGCATTCATGCAGACCGCTTGCCATTGTTTGAAAACTCGGCAGGTCTGCCTGAGAACAAAGCTTTACTCTGTTCAGCAGTGGATTGTTTTGGGGGGGTTTAAATAGTGAGGCTTGAGGTGTGATGACATGCTGATGTTCCTAATGCTGTTATGACTGAGTGAATGCATCATCTTTATGCGTTATGCTGCTAGAATTTGAGATAATGTTGGACTGTGCAACACACACAGCAGCTGAAACAGTTATTTTTCATTCCCACATAATAGTTTGTTTCCTGATCCTGGTGAGTACGATGTCACTTCACCAAATTCCAAAACAGTTGAAATGATGCAGTCTTCTTTGGCCGTGGAGCTTTTTTCCTTGAGGGTATCGTTTGGATTTTCATGGCTTGGGTTTGGAGACTAAAGTTATTTGTTGTTTTCGAAAGATAAGCATTAACTGTTGATGACTGTTTGTCAGGCAGTGCTGTTTGTTGCAAGCAGCTACCACATAATAGGATGTCAGGATATCTTGGCCTTTAGTGCTCCAGTTTTTTAATTAGCAGACAACTAAGAGTACCACTCCAACTTCACACTTGCCAACAGCAAATATCATGAAAAAACAAACAAATAACGGTACAGCTGCATATACAATGAGCTCCGACGTACACACAGTGTTGTATAAGCAGCCCACTCACTGCATTAGCCTTAACAAGCTAAAGTTATTGTGATAAGTAATGAAAACATCTCAGGTTATGAACATTTTACGCCATACTGTTAATTTAATGTTTGCATCTGAAACTCACACTGCTCTTGTAAATGCAGAAGTCATCAGCGGCTTTGAGGTGCACTGATGGTGAGCATTCAGATTCCCGTTTTTGAATTCTGGTCCATACTGTTTGCTTTCTGCCTTTTTGTTGTCTATAGCCTGTCGATATCCATCCTCCTCAAACACAAAATATCTCAATACCCAACTCTTAGTCATACGCTGCTTAAAAACATGGATCTGTTTCTGAAAGGCAGTGCGTGAAAAGCCTTAAAGCTGCGTCTTCAGTCTTCTGCAATACAGCGTGATGATCATTTAGTAAATTATGGTGAACAGATAATTGAGCAGTGTCGTTCTTGGTCATATTCACCCACTTCAGGAGTTCACAAACCAGCACGGTTAGAGTCCTGTATATCTTTATGTTTATGTCTTTCCTTTTTCTTTCACTGACCTGCTGCTGGATATTGTGCTACACAAAAACAATTTACTTGCAATTCCTACAGCCTTCTCTTAAGAACTCAGTCTTTCTTCAGATGTTGAGAAAATTTCAACCCAAAAACTAATTATATCAAATCGGTGTCTTAATGGTAAAAACATGGACAGAGCTGCCTCGACATCCTTCCCACCCAGTGTGTTGTCCTTGTGGTCTGGCCTGAACCATGTCAGCCAGAGCTCCTGTTAGTGCGGAGGCACCACAGCTCGATACTGTAGCCCTCTCAGTTTGCTGCTCACTTTCTCATATTGAGTGAGGCTAGCCACCCCGCAGAGGAGTCTCATCTCGGGCTGCTGGTATCAGTGATCTAATTCATTCAGTCGCTAACCAAAGCCCGCGACCACAGGTGAAGGGCTGTAAAGAAGGCTGAGCAATAAATTGAAAGCTTTGATTTGTAGCTGTCAAAGTGAAGACAGATCTCAGTGTTACTCCCTAAAGGTGAATTATTGCATTTAGGTCCTCTGCAGTGCTCACTGTTTGTTTTGAATTA